GTGTGTGTGTGTGTGTACCCCCTCCCCCTGCAGAGACGAGAGAGGCTCAAGAGGAGTGTTTTCGCAGACGTCTGGCTTGTGTTATGGTTTGTGTACAGCAACAGAAGGAACTTATTATGAAGAATTTGACCAGTGGATTTACTTAAATACTTAATGATGCAACAACCGTTTCCCAGTTGCAAGACTTGACTTTCAAGTGGAAATTGCTCATTTCCCAACACGAGAAATTCCTCCATTTTTTTTAGCTGGTGCAGTTTTGGGTCACGGTTCGTTATAGAGGACAAGTGAGGGAAGCTTTACACATACTCCAATCATGGAGGGCCAGATAAGCGTTTCAAATTGGCATTGTTGGAGAGTGGCATCCTGTTCCACACTCCCACTGCCCTTTGTGCAAAGCAGTGCTTTTTTTCATCTGTCCTAAATGCCCCTTCTGATGTTGTAGAGAGTTCAACAGGGGCATTAAGACTGCATACACTCCAGAAATCGTGCCTTTTCAGTTACCTGTTCTTCTGTGACAAAACATCCATTTCTGTGCAGGGATTCTACATCAGGCATGAAGGAAAGAGATGAGATACCAAAATGGGGTGCATGCTCATCATGGGAGAGATCCTTTAGCAAAAATAGTGTGTCTGTAAATGGATAACTCCCAGACTGGGGGAGGAGCAGATAAGAGATATAATCGCCTTTGTTGATATTGGCACCTGGAGTAATTTAATAACCCGTGCTGGGAGATGGTGCATGTTGCCCTCGGGCAGAACTGGAGCAGTGATTGCAGGCAGAGGTAGAGGAGTCGTGACGTGTTGTGTAAAGCAAGGCGCCACTGAGCTCCGCAGCCGCCCCGATGCAGGTGATGAGCCTCTCGAGAGCATGAGGCCTCTGTTCCAAGCTCCTCTTCGGAAAAGGGACTCGTGCGGTACTCTGCACACGCTCACTTCTGCCCGTCCTCGTTCTTTTGACCGATGTCCTCGCTAACCCAGTGGCACTGGAAGTGTTGGAAGCCCATGCACGGCATCCTTTTGCACAGCCCCAGTGCAAAGGAGTGTTTACTCCTTGCTCAAGTCCACCCTCAGCTAGGTGTTGCATTGCACACCCACAGGCTACTTGTTTTAAAATAGCAGAGCTTTCGCATGCATGTTCCAGTCCATGAGCAGGTGTGTGCAGGGAGTTCACATAAACACGGCTTGAGATGCCGAAGCCACAATTCTTCTGTATCTGCTGAAAATCCCTAGTTTCACTGGAAGAAATCGCACTCCTACAGCAGGCAGGTGGCCATTGACGTTACAGTTGGTGACTGACATCGGGGGTGATTTCTCCTTTTGCATTCAACTGTGTTTACAGCCAGTTTTCTGGACTCTTATGTTCTTGCTCCTCGCTCCACTCCAGAGCACAAAGTGACCACACTGAGCCCTAAAGCAAGCAAAGGGCCTGGTGGGAATAAGCTTCTAGTCCCTGCCTGTGAGCTGATTGTCGCGGAGCCCGGCCACATGAGAATGAGCACCCGGAGGGATTGCTGGGAGACAGGCTGGCACGCTGCCCCTGCTGACCCTTGTTCCTTCACCCCTCTAGGTGGTCACTGTCTGGACCTGGGCCACAGCATGCTGTGCCGGTGCCGGGCGGGCTTCACGGGCGCCCGCTGCGAGATCAACATCGACGACTGTGCCCGCAGCCCCTGCCGGAACAGCGGCACCTGCGTGGATGGCATCAACGACTACACCTGCACCTGCACCCTGGGCTACACGGGCAAGGACTGCAGCGTGCGCGCCGACGCCTGCGCCGCCTACCCCTGCCAGAACGGCGGCACCTGCTACACTCACTTCACTGGCCCTGTGTGCCAGTGCCCGCCGGGCTTCATGGGCTCCCGCTGCGAGTTCAGCCTCAAGCCCACCCCCCCGGGGCCGGCCCGCAGGCCC